TCAATTTTTTCACGAGTAGAGTACAATAAATCGACAAACTAATCGTGACTGACAACCTCAAAAACATTACCTCCTTTTGGTTGGCACAACCTCCGCCTCACCCAGCCTCAGTAACCCACAATCGTAACCGGCCTTTACAGGAAGTCAACGACTTCACCGACATTACATTAATTTCCTCTCACTCCAGCATTGTTTTAACTTGACAACAAATCAGTTTGTATGTGAAGCAAGCACCCCTTGACGTCGCTTAATGTCGGCAACTGCACTTTTTCCAATTCGCCCTCTTTCAAGGGCGGCCAGATTGAGTTTCCATGCCAAAGTATGCTTTGTGAAAATAATGTCATCCACTTCAAGACCGTTTGTAGCCCCTTCAACAGACCTCACCCATTCCTTTTTCACGGCACCGGACACAAGTTGGATTTGTACATTCCCACTTAAACGGCCAGCAAGCCCTGCCTGTCTCGGCCATTCTGGCTGACGAATGCAATGACTTGGCAGATGACCCTCCTTCAGATCATCTTTAAGTGCGTAACGAGGAGCTTTGGAAGGTCTGGCTGGTGCGGCTGTTCATTTGATGACAAACTTCTCTCGCAGCGGCAAATTGCTGTGACTCGATTTCGCAACTTGGCCATGGTAGCCCTTGTCATGGGTACCTCTACAAAATGTGGCATCTGCCATCGTTGTCATGTCTTCCACCGACCTCCGATCTCGATGACATGGAATCTTCCAAAAGAAGACAATTCTCATTAGCCAAAAGGACAAATCTCTTTCGAAATGCCGACCACAATGTCTGCAAGTGTACCAAGTCGACGAACTGATGCTGAAAATTATGGCGACCTGCATGGCAGAGGCAAAGTTAGGCCATCCTTCTTCGATATTTTCATGGCACCACAAAGACGTGGCAAAAATGAGGTCGGAGCAATTGTTATTGTGCATACCTCAACGACTGGAATTGGCGAATAAGACATCTCGTCATGGTAGAGACGCGCCTTGCTCTCTGTTCTACATTATACTTGCCTCTTGCTTGGTATTAAAATGACTCGGAACCAATGGATTCCTCATTCATGATTAGATCCGCTATTTTGTTTTAACTAAAAAAATATGTTAAGTTTCTGGAAATAGCCTCTTAACCGCTTGGCTGAATAAATAACAAATTTCTTCTTAACTTTCCTATCAAATATAACATTTCTGAAGTTAAATAAAGTAGCGGCTCATTGATTTTATTCGTATTAAAGTAGGGTTTCGAGACTACCAGTAACTCAGTGTAATACATCAGTGGAATACATCTAATTTCATTGATTTTACACTGAAATCGTGAAGAAAGTAATAAAAATGTCATTGAATACAAATGCGTGCTTCTCGATTTGTATAATATAGTTACGTGGCATATTAATTGAGTCCAAACAAACTGGCAAACAAGCCAAACTTCTTCTTCTTATTGGCTCTTATATATTATATAAACATTTTATTTTATGGTTCCTAACAATATTTTCACTAATTCAAACTTCTGATCCTCCTATTACTTCTGAATTATTCCGCAAATATCAGTTTATTATTGGGTTTTCGAACTTAGTGAAACGAGGGATTTGATACATTTT